GGCCGCCTCTGGCCGCGGTAGGCGACCCCGGACGTGGCCCGCGTGTTAAGGAGGGGGCGGGGGAGGGGAGGAGAGGGGGAGGGAGCGCTGGCTCTGAGGTTTAATCAGTAGCATCCAGCTTAAATTCCCCCAAACGGCGGTTCCATAAATCAAACTTCTTTTTAAATCGGAGGCCAGAGCATATGCGTCCCATTAGGAATCGGGCGAAGCCACCGCTGCGCGGACGCGCCCGCTCGGCTCTCTGGGCCGCCCTGGGCCCTGCCCGGACCTTCCCGTGGCCCGGTGGGCGCTACCGGACCCGTGGCTCGTGCGCCCGCGCTCCGCGCGCTCCCTTGGCCTTGCTACCTGGGTGCTTCGTGACCGCGCGCGCACGCACTGCGCGCCCTCCTCGCCTCCAGGTGAGGAGTCAGCCAGAGCAAGGGTTGGACTTGCGTCTCGGCAGGACGGCGCGAATTGCCGCAAAGACTTGGGGTACAGCACCGGTGCTGTCTGGTGGGCGCAGCATGCACGTGTGTGCTGGTGTGTGCGCTGGGCAGAGGGCGTGTGCGTGCAGCGCTCCTTAGCGTGGCACGGTCCTGCGCGCCGCGTGTGTTAATGTGGCCTGGGGAGAGGGTCTCCTGCTGATTAGGACTGGCAGTCTCTGGCCCTCGCGCTCGGTGCGTACAACCTGGTCTACAAGGGTCTTAGGGCCACTCTCTGCCACCCTGTCTCTGATCCCCAAGTCGGAACGTCTCACTGCCGCCGCTGTCCCCAAGGTGTTCTACCTCTGTGGCTTAGAGCAGCAAAGTGATTCCAAGGCCCCAGGCTTCTGTGCGCGCAGGACACCCAGCGCCCCGCCCAGGACTCTCTGGCCGCGTTCCCCGCCTTCCCTGCTCCAGCAGTGATGGCCAGGGGCTCCCCTCCCGCCCACCCTGCCCGCCGCCCGCGGCACTCACAGGTAGCTGCCGCTGGACAGGAGGAGAAAGATCTGCGGGCAATAGACGGAGAGAAGCGCGCTCCGCGGCGACAGGAGGAGCATGGTGGGCTGGCGCGCCTGGCAGGGCTGGGCAGGCCTCACCCGCAGGGCTCCTGCCCCTGCCGAGGCTTGGGGTCTCCGCGGCCCTCCCTGATGCAGGGCAGCAGCGCTGGGCGCTAGGGGCCAGGGCTCGCGGGCCGGGGGACAGTAGTCGCCCGTGTCCCGCCTCCAGGGCCGCGCATCGTGCTGGATCTGGGGCGGCAGCGGGCGCTGGGGCTGGAGTGCGGGGTGGGGGGCCGGGCGGGGGACCGTGGGCGCGCCTGGGTGGCTGTCTGGTCCTCCGTCCGTCTGTCGGTGCGAACCAGCTCTGTCGCTCACTCCGGCTCACGTCTCCAAGTCTCCCGAGGCGCGCAGCTGCCATTGGACAGGCCGCCCTTACATCCGCCTCCTCAGCGGGCGGGTTTTTTTAAAGGGGAGGTTGACCAAAGCCTGTGACGGGTGCCGCCCCCAGGGTTTGCCCAAGTTGCCTTGGCCAGGATACCCTCGCCACAACCTTCCTCTAGAAACGCCGCTACTGAAAGCGCACCTGGGGTCAGAGGGGGAGAAACACCTTGGAGGGATCGCGGGGAGGCGTATGCTCCTCTTAGTCTCTGGGCTCAACAACGTGTGCTCGTGTGTGCATGCATGTGCCTGTGTGAGCGTGCAGGTGTGTGCAGCGCAGATGCATTGTCTGTGTGCTGAGCCTCTGCCTGCAAGCAGCCTGATAGGGAAAACTAGCTATGGGTCACTTTGGTTGCAGCTGGCCCAGCCCTGCTCTGGGATGGTAGGCTGGTGCCTGCACCAACCATTCCGTACATCTTTGGGGAGACAGACTGGGAGCCCCCATACTATTCGCATCACACAGGCCCCTCACTTCCAGCATCTTCACCCCTTGTCTTTTGCTCTTCTCCAAGGAATTGGTTGGTGTGGGGAGAGATTCACCACAGAAGCAGACTTAGGGTCACAGCTCCTATTGTGTGCTGAGCCTGGCTGTATCAGAACACCTTTCTGTAGGCATGTAGACTCTGTCAGGTGGGGAAAGGCACAGAGCAGGGAACATCAATCAGGAAAGAACTGTGTACAACACAGCTGCCAGTGGTCTTGAAGAGGGATCTCCTAGCTCCTGGGACTCCAAGAGGAGGACTCTGCATTCCTTTGTGTCCTCTGTGCCTCTGCTTCTGCTGACCACAAAAGCAGGTACAGACCTAGGGCAGGGCTGTCCTGGCACCTCAGTGACCCTGGTTTTCTAATCTGGCTGCTTTCTGTCCTGAGTTGGCCCCCTCCCAGACAACCACTCCATCTGAAGGGACCCTAGGCTAGGCACTATGATTCAACAATGCCATCGAGCTTGGAACTTGCCGAGGCTCCAAGGCTGTTCTGGGATTATGAGAGGGCTGGTATGTGAGGTGCACGTATGAATTTCTGGAGACCCCAGTGCACACGAGGAAGCAGCAGCAGTAGACTCAGGGACTAAAAATACAGACCCTCCCCCAAGGCCTATCAAATCTGATTTTGGGGGTTGGACTCTTATGACTCTAAAATCCCAACTGTGGGGATCCTGAGCTTCTGGGGAAAACCATTTGAAGGAATCCTCAGGGTGGCTGCCACACCCTTGATCTCCGGGTCATTAATGATAAGAAGGGCTTTACTGGTGGGTGGCCCAGTAGTTCACTCTGTATTTCACTCACTTCTGTCAGGACTAACCCCCCCAGCAGCCCTAAGGGGGGCTGATTTTCACAGATGAGAAAAGGGGGCTTGCGTCGGGAAAAGGTTCACTGAAGCACCTGCCAAAAGTGATGAGGGATGTCTCCACCAAACCATCAGATCTTCTCAATCCACTGAGCTTCCACTCCATCTTTAAGGTCACACATGGGCCCACCAGCTTCTCCTACCTAAAAAACTAAGAAGAAAAAAGTAATTATGGTCATCTGTGTGGCTCAGACGCAATTGACATTTACACAATGAAAATAATACAACCTTTGAATATTGAAGAGAGAGAGAGAGAGAGAGAGAGAGAGAGAGAGAGAGAGAGTCTGTCTCAGGGTGGGCATCTGACTTCCACGGGCTCTTTGGAGATCACATTTTGGAAACTCTGGAGTGGAGGGTTCCTGAAGGGAGAGGAATTTCCCCTTCCAGGGCTCCTGGGCAGAGCCAGAACCACTCAGAGGAAAGCTTGCCCAGTCCTAGAGGGAAGTGGACACAGGTGCCTGGGAGTTCAGGCTGGGTTCACAGGAGACCCTCTGGGTCTCACTCACCCATTCCCTACTCATCACTGGCCACCATGCAGTTTAGAACAGCCACAACTGAAATCCCACTTCCAGAAGGGAGTGGGAGATGAGGAAGATGGTGTGCAGGGGTCAAGCCCAGGAGCTACCCCAGACAGGCTAGGTAGGGCAGGAAGCCAGCTCCTTCTTCTAACATCTTTTGCACTTGTTGGATGTGTGTGTGTTGGAGGGGGGCGCTTTCTGAGCCCCCTGTTGGAACCTTTCTGCTAGGAAGAGTGGCCAGCATTTGAAACCTGAGCTGGTAAAGAGCTCAACTCAAAGGCCTCTGTGCTAGAGTCAGGTAGCAGGGAGGCCTGGAACTTCCATCGGAAGGGCTGTGGATCCCTCCGCAGCCCAGGAGGATCACACCAGGCCACTGAGAGTCGGGGAAGCAGTGGCCTGCCCACCCCACCCCCACCCCCCAGTAGGCTCAAAGCTGGCACCCCTCACCTCCATAAACAAACACCCCAGGACACAGCCTACCCACATAGACTTACAATAAACACAACCACCAGGAGCCGCAGACAATCCTGCCCAGGTCTGCAGGGATAAGGCTAGGACGGGGACTTCCAGCCCTGCCTCAGAGGCCACCAGACTTGGTCCCGGCCCTTTCTGGGCCTCAGTTTCTCCACTTGTAAGATGGCGGAGATGCGAAGGGCTGGAAAGGGGGCTGATTCTCAGGTCTTGCTTCTCTCGCCTGGGAAGCCAGTCTCCCAGGTACCGGAACCCGCCCCTCCTACAGGTCTGGTCACTGGCCTTCCCAGGGCCAAGGTGAGGCCGGCCTCGGAGCGGCGAGCGGCTCATAGTAGGAGCCCGGAGCGCGGCGGGGCTCAGGTGCCTGCAGGTGCTGGGGTGCTCGGCCGGAGCCACCGACCGTGGATAACCCCCGCGAGGTGCGCCGCGCTCCCTTCGGTCACACTGCCCCTCCACCCCCAATCCAGGGAGGCCGAGACAGATTCCGTCTAAAGGAGACCGCGGCTCAACAGGTAAGGACTCGGCTGGGTTCAGGAATGTGGAAATACGACTCGGAGCAGCTACCGCGGCGAGCTGCGAGCGCGGCCCGCCTGGAGCCCGCCCGCCCGCCCGGCCGCCCGCGCCAGGGGGAGCGCGGAGAGGGGGCCGG